CTCTCTCATCTTTTTAAGTGGGAGAACTTGCACAATTGGTGGCTGACTAAATACTTTTTTGCCCCACTGTAAGTGGACTTTGAATGGTTAAGTAATCGTGGCATCCATAATTGTAATCGCGATTAGAAATTCGATTCATTGTGCAGCCCTACTCTTTACTCGCAATTCGGAGAAAAAAAGTCAGAATTGTGAGATAAAAAGTCGCAATTACCTTGTTAATGCATTAGTGTGAATGTGTGTGGGGGGATTATTGTTGTGAAAATGTCATAATGCAAAGACATCTTGGTAACACTTTACAAAAACGTCCCGTTATTTAATGCATGAACTAATATTATTAACTAACAACAAGCAATACATTTGTTACAATATTTATTATTAATCTTCATTAAGTTTAGTGACTAATCGTTAGTTCATGTCAGCTCAGGTGCATTATAAATAATATTAACTGATACAACTTTTGATTAGAATGATATATGAGCTCATTTTGAACTTAACTAAGATAGATAACATGCTTTATAAGTGTTTTTCGTAGTTTTTTTCAGATTAACTAATGCCACTCTTATTGTAAAGTGTTACCTGAAGCTTAATGGTTTTCATTTTGCATTTTCTTCAGGCTAATTATAATCTGGCTATGTTCTTGTGGGATTTATGCTGTCTCGAGTTACAGGTCGATTGTTTCAGGCTTTTCTGAGAAGCGTTCTCACACACGTTAACACACAAGCTTGTTGTTTTCAGCAGTTAACGGTGTGCTGCAACCACAGCAACGTGTGCTTAATGCACAGATTTAGCTTTGTTGTGAAAGCCTGAGAGTGTATTATCTGGGCAAAATGGCCGAATGCTGTATGATGTTAATCTGTAAATTGGAGACAAAGAGTGAAAAATTTAAGGGGGTCTGAATACTTTCCGTACCCACTGTACATGTTTCAGTAAACTGGCTGTGTTTACATTGGTTTATTGAGGGAAACTCAACATCAAGCACTGACTGAATGATCCGTGCCATTTGAGTGCAGGGAGACGCTTTGTAATGTGAACTTTTGTTAACGTTTTTATATATATATATATTTTTTTATCTGAATGTGATGGACTTGTGAGTGAAAAGCACAGAAGACTAAACGTGAAAGGAATTATTGTTGCATTACTTGTCTAATAAACATGATGATGTGCATTGATGATAGATTTTTGTTTTGTTTTGTTTAGAAAATGTTAGTGCTGTGTAAAAGTGACCAACGTGAATACTAAGAATCTGTGGGCGGTCGAAAAGGCAAACCGTGTCTGTGATGTTCGGGTTGATAGATGTGGTCCCTGCTGGAAAACAAATGAAAATAGTCAAGCCACACAGGTATTTCATTCAATGCATTTTTACCTCTCTCTCTCTCTCTCTCTCTTCAACCTGGTTGAAAACCATAAATGAAATAATTTAGAAATTGCGATAGCACTAATTTAGGGTATCTTAACTGCAATTATTGACACATTTTGTTTTGAATGACCCAACACTCTTCAGGATTACATTTATGAGTGATGAACAGCTGAAATATTAGAAGAAAGCCTGTAACAGAGAGAGAGAGAGCGAGAGAGTGATGTTCGTCCACTAGAGGGTAGTGTGTGACAAAGCTGTGTATATGGGACAGGGTTGCCAGGTTTTCACAACAAAACCCGCCCAGTTGCTACTCAAAACTAGCCCAATGGCATTTCGAGGGGGGCTCCCCGTTCAGGGGGGTAAAGTACCCGTTTCTGGCGGGGTCCCCCTGGTAAACTTCACACTCCACGGGCTAAATATCACGTTATCGGGGTCGCTTTACCCCGCGACAACAGTGATAAAGTAGCCCAATTCCGCGGGGAACCCGCGGACCTGGCAACACTGACATGGGCTTCACATACGCATGATATGGGCATATGCCAAGATGTGGGAACGACCTGCAAATGGAAAGATGAATCCATCAATTCAAATCTTACTTCAATATGAAGAAATATGTTTCTATGCAAAAATATCTAGATGCTGTCTAATTAGCGTTTGGGTTCTGCAGTATGTGCAAGGATATACCGTGATTTCGTTATTGCTAAACTGTCAGTGTGGCTCTGAGATGCACCCTGTCATTGTTTCACTGAGTGTCTCTGTGTCCCGCTAGGGGTCTCGCGCACTCCTCTGTGACTGCACTGCATCGCTCGCGCGGATAAATGGCACCTCATTAATCAAATGTGCATGAGTGCGCTCAGGTTGCCATGGCAATAATTATCAGAGCTGCCTAATCAACTTTCTCAATTGCTTAATGATATACGACCCTGTGAACTCCCCTCTGTTTCTTCCCTCTCTATAATTCAGGCTGGGATTTTTCTCTCTCTCTTCATTTTTTTCTTCTTCTTTCCATTCTCGCTGTTAACACGTGACCACCATTTTATGAGCATAAAACAGAACAGATTGCAAGTAACACTGGTGTTAAAGTTGAGTCTGTGTACCTTACCGCTGCGACAACAGGTGGGGAAATACAGCTAAAAAGATGAAATGTAGGCTGTACAGCTGTACTGTTAGATTACAGATTGTTATAGAGAAATCCGAAGGGTGGATTTAAAGGAGCCATGAACTAATTTTTTTGTATTGTTCTCTGAGGTCCACTTTTATTGTTATCAAGATTTTTATTTTAAGATTTTTTATCAAAACATCAAAGTAACCGGCTATTTTCTCTCCTGTTTTGCCCCACTCATGCTCTGTTTGAATAGGCGTGGCAGATTGTAGACTAAACGCTAACTAGTAAACGCCCACTGCTGTGATTGGCTAAGAGTTGTGTATGTTTGAAAGCCTTCACAGATCGACGCTGCTGTGATTTAGGTCAAAAATGCATAAATATCCAGCACATGTGTGACGGGGTATTACTGTTGGATCCAGTAGCATCGTCTTTTAGTTTCAATCTGTCTGAAAATCCAGCGTCGAATTGTGCCTTGCTTGTAAACGAATCCACGGTATGAAGTGAACAAAGGACCAAGTTCTTTCATTAAAAATAAAGTTCATCCACTCTTTCCTAACATTGGGATCAGAAAGAAGGTGATGCAAAGACTGTGTTTTCCCACAACTTAGCACTGTACAGCGTCCTGTTGTCTTCGGATCATCTTTATCATTTGATTTCTGTGTAGACCTACGTTCGTCTCTCTTGTTATTTACACTACATGCGTGAATCGGTAAGCGGGGCTAAACCTGCAGCGCTGTAGAATCGGTGGGCGAGGATAACGTGCAGCGCTGTAGAATCGGTGGGCGGGGATAACGTGCAGCGCTGTAGAATCGGTGGGCGGGGATAACGTGCAGCGCTGTAGAATCGGTGGGCGGGGATAACGTGCAGCGCTGTAGAATCAGTAAGCGGGGCTAAACGTGCAGCGCTGTAGAATC